ACCCTCACCAGTGGAGTAGTAGCCCAGCAGGACAGCCCTCCTCGACCCCCTATCAAGCTTGTGCCCAGTCTGGAGCCTTGGTTGTACATGTACATGCTTTGGGCCAGTCTGGCATGGCCCACTTTGCCTCAGCATTCACAGGTGGGTGCTGCAGCTTGACTCTGCTTGGCCTGCCTCCAGTTCTAGCTTATGCTGGCATATGCTGCAGCTCAGGCAAGCCTGGCCAGCCCCTAGTCCTAACCCTAATGTGAACTGGCAGGAATTGCAGGCTAACCTGGCCCAGCCTTTACCATCCTGGCTCTCACACCTGCCAGTGGGTGCTATTGACTGGCCAGGACTAGCCTAGCCCGGCCCATCCCCACTCTTGATCCACACGTATGTTGATGGGTGCTATAGACTAGTCTCCCCTGGATTGTCAGAGATTCTTCCAATACATGACAGAATGCCTCTCCAGCTTCCCCAGCACCCCCTCGTGGTATGCAGCTTTGTAAGCAAACCCAGCCCCACGGCTTCTGTCCTCCGTCAAATTGCAGGAGGTAACAGGCACCATCCATTGGCCGGCCACCAACCAGCTGGTGTCTGTTAATCAGGGCTCAGACCCCTTGCTTTGGTCATTTGAAAATGATCGGATCCCAGGGGCAGCGTCTGCTTCATTGGTTAAGGCACTACCTGGTTCAGGGATATCAGTACATGGTTCCAGTCTTGGCTTCTCTGCTATAGTCCGGCTCCAACTTCTTGCTCATATTTACCCTGGGAGGTGGCAGGTGAGGGTTCAAGTACTTGAGTTACTGCCACCCACAGGGAGGCCTAGCCAGTATTCTAGAAGCTGGCTTCTGCCTGGCCTAGCCCTGGCTGTTGCAGACTCTTGGAGATGCAAGATTTAGATCTTTCTGTCTTAAAATAAAATGAAAATATGTTAAAATATATTCATAAAATGAAAATAATAAATATTTTTATTTGTTATTTATTTTAAAATATTTATTTATTTTTATTATTTTTAAAAATAATAAAAATTATCAGATTCCAAGCCAAATAGACATTTTAACATATCAATCTTTTGCTTAGAGTTATTTATCTATTTGAAAGGCAGAGATACAGAGAGGGAGACCTTCTAACTGCTGGTCCATTCTCCAGATGGCCACAACAACCAGGACGGCGCCAGGCCGAAACCAAGCTCCAGGAGCTTCTTGTAGGCATCCCGCCTGGTGCAGGGGTCCAAGCAGTTCCACTGCTTCTGTCCCATGCTGCAGGGCTCGGGCCGCTGCCATCTCAGCTTGCTCTAACGCAGATCCTGGGAGGGGGTGGTGACGGCTTATGTGTTGCATTCCTGGCCTCCCTGTACCAGACCTGAATTGAGTTCGTACCTCTTGGTTTGGGTTGTTGTGAGTTTTCAGGGACTAAGCCAACGGATGTGGGCTGTCTCAAAATACATACATCAATACCTTTTAGATAGTTTTCTCCCCAGAGAGTTCATAATCTAGTAAGAGTATTGCTGGGGTTTTGTATTGCGTACTCAGTCTGTTGGTCATTCATGAAAAGGAGAGTGAAACCAAATCGTGTGTCTCGCGTCGTCTTTGGAGGAACCAAACGCCTACTGGTGGGCAGGGAGAGGACGCCCTTGAAGAAAGTTTCTGCTGACAGCTGAAGGGGCTGGCCAGCGGGGGTGGGGTGCTGGCTGGTGGTGTGTGTGGGGGGGATGGCCTGCTCCTTTATTGCAGCCCCGCCCCCAGGAAGGTGAGAGCTGATGTGGAACCAGGGTGTGCAGATTCACTTCCCCTGCCCTTGGCCAAGGGCAACCGCACAAAATGGGATTAATTGGGATTATGGGGGCTTTGGCTGCTTGGCTGCTATTCAAGGGTGAATGCTTAATTTATGTCCCCATGGTCTTGACTCCCGCCTGATTAGACTGGCTCACTCAGGCCAGTGTTTGCCAAGGACTTTCCTCTGAAGAGCAGCTACAGGTGGTCCTTTCCGACTTTAGCTCTATTGCGGAGCACCACAGAAGCAGAAAGCAGTGTTGAGCTTGAAGCCCTCTCCCCTGCCCTCCCAGACCCTCCCCGCCCCCCCGCCCCCCGTGCTTTCTGTGAGTGAATGGGATCTGTGTGGGAGGGTTTACCTGGGAGGAGAACCATGCAGTATTTTCTGCGACAGTGGAGTCCCAAGCTGTCATCCATCCACCCTCACCTGGGCCTGCCTGTATGTCCAGGCTGCTTACTGGGCTCACACGGTGCACACTCAACAGCAGGCAGCGTGCCTGGAGGCCAGCGCTTCCAGGGCTCAGCACCTGGCCACTCCAGCGTGACCGGTCCCCAGAGCTCTTTGTCCCCTACCTAGGGAAGGTCTCCCAGCAGACAGAAGGGGCTGGCCCTTCTTCACACGAGCCTCTGGCTGCAGCAGCCGGCATCATCTGTCCCACACGAGGGGAGCTGCGCTCATCCACACCAGCAGTGTCCGGCATGGCCTCGTTTGGCTGCTACACATTCTGGAGCGCTTCAGGGAGGCAGGGGTGGAAGGTCTGTTACATCAAGTCTGAAGCTATTTTAGCCAGCTTGGACCTGACCTTGGCAGGAACTTCACAGCTTGTCTCTGCTGACTGCATGTGGATCCTCCTGAGCAAGGACACAGCCTGGGGGTTGCGGGGGACGCTGCTCAGAGCCGGATGGCCGTTCATGTGGATTCATGTGAGGGAGGGAGTGTCAGTGACACACACCTCTAGGCTGACGGCAGTCCTACACGGCCCGGCCCTACAAGCAGCAAATTGCAGTCACACGGAGCCGGGCTGCCTTCCGTGCTGTCATAGAAACAAGCACGAGATAGGCCGCCACCATCAGCTCCCCGTGTCCCTCAAAACCTCAGCAAAGCAGACCCAGTGGTCTCCAGACGCCACCCAGCACATCCTTCTCCAGAGCACAGGAAGCTGGCCTCGGCTAACAACAGAGATTACCAACCCACCTCCCCACCTCCAGTATGCAGTGAGCCACAGATCACAACCCCCAGAGCGTGGCCCTGTGGATCAGGCAGGACCTTACCCCCGAATGAGGACGCCAGCTCCATCTTCCCCCATATCCAAGTAAGGACAGGGCCACTAGGGACAGGCTGGGGAAGCCAGGCATCGCCAGCCCAGTGTTGTGAAGCTGTGACTCAGCTCCTTCTGCGACCTTTTCTCTCAATGCCATGCAGGGAACAGTCATGCAGGCCAGAGCGTGTTCTGTACAGAGAGAAGGAATGCGTGTGACACCCAGTGCCACTTGGTCCCCGCTTCAGGGCTGCGGCTTCCTTCTGGGTCCACCCGACCCTCACGGAGCTGCTCCTTGTTCACCGTGCGGTGTGCTGACTCCCCGTGGTCTCACGCCCAGCGTGAGGGGGATGCTCAGACTCCTCTGGGGCTTGGTGGTAGTCATGCTTTGTTTTGGATTTGTGAGGATTTTAAAGGTGAATGTGTTAGCGGTGTCCTCCAGTGGCTAGCTGCTGAGTAAAGCAGCTTACCTACTTGTGGATGGTCTTGGTACTGGGCAGGTGGCATGGATGCCCAGGGCAGAGGTGCCCTGGGCTGGTGTGTGGTGGCCTCCTTACTTGGAGTGTGAGCCATGGCCCATGTGCCTTGCCCCCTGCCAGAACCGTGTGTGTGTGTGTGTGTGTGTGTGTGAGAGAGAGAGAGAGAGAGCGCGATGGCCCGCAGCTTCCCCGGAAGGGGGCTCTGCCACTCTGATCACCACTGTTGCCAGGCCTTGCTGGAGAGGAGGGTGGGCCTCGGGCTGGCCGTGCTTTGGCCTCCTGTGGCATTGCAGCATGTGGAGGGAGAGTTCTCTGCACCCACACAGGCCTGGTCAGTCAACATCATGCTTGAGAGGGAAAGCCATGTCTCTGGGTGTCCCTGGCTTCTTCAGGCTGCCACCAGCAGCACCGGCAGCCCCTTACCACCTCGGCTGTTCCTCAGCTTGTGGCCCCAAGTGCCGCGTGGCATGTGGGCCACAGCCCTGGGAACGCAGAGGCCCCGGGTCGTGTCGAGTGCTTGGCGCAGGCTCCTTTCTGCCCTCCGCTCCCTGGCCCACTCCTCTCTCTCTCTGGCCCTTCCATCGCTCTCTTTCTTCTCTTGACCACTTGTTAAATCTTTTTGTTTGTTTCCCCTCTTTCTCCTGGGACCCTCCGACAGGCAGGCTTGCCAGATTCATTTTCTGATCAAAGCTGTTTGATTTGGTCAATTTTGCCACATTGGAGACGTTCTCTATTACAGAGATAAATAGCTTTGGGCTAACTGTCAACGAAAACTTGTAAGCTAATAAATTATTCCAATTTCTTGCCGTGGATTTCTCTGGAGACAGCCCTAGGAAATACACTTTTTGATTAGTAAATTTCTCTGTGTGTGTGTCTGGACATTCAAATGTGTCGGCTTTGATTAGCACCATTGCTTTTCACGTCGACGCTGGCTGAGGGGCTGTCAGCTGCAGGCAGTGCTGATGCATAATGCATCAACTGGGCCCGGGAACAGGAGCCTCTTCCAAGGCTGGAAAGGCGGGAAAATTGCCCTAACAACCCCACTGGCTTCCTCGGTACCGAAGGGAGTGCGGCTGGCGCGGCCTGACAAGACTTGCGCCGGGCAGCATGGAAGCCGCCCATGCCGGTGGACAGGTCGGGCACCGCTCCATCTGCCCCTGACGATCGCGTCCTCCTCCCCTAGACTCACCCCTGCACCTGCCTCGCACCCTGCTCTCCAGTGCGTCCACCCCGAAGGTCCAGGCGCCCCCTGGCCTCCGCTCGGATGCAGGTTTGCCGTGTGTCTAGTTAAGGGCCCTCGGGTTGTTATAGAAACAATATTTTGGCTATAACAAATCAATCGGTGTGTATGAACACAAACATACAGATCATTTATCAACTGCAAAATACCCTAAATTATGACCTTTCTAGAACCCATCAGAAGGGCGAGCGAATGCATAACGTAAATTAAAGCTTGAAGGGTCAGCGGTTTTACTTTCACTATTCATCTTTCTTTCACCTTATAGGTTTAAGAACAAGAGGGCTGTGTAATTACATTTCAATGGGGTGCAGCGGTTCATTATTCGCCACCAAGCTGATCTGCTGCCGCGTCTCCAAGGCAGTCAAGGTACGTTCGGATAGTGGTTGGTAGAAGAGCAGCCGCTCTTTCGGACTGATAACATCTCCTATCCGTGCTGTCATCTCAGTTTAGACAGAGTTGGGGGATTGGAGGAGTTCTGTGTGTCACTGTGCCTGTTTGGTGGGACTTCTCCCCGTGCTTCCTGCTTGCCCCCATTCCAGTCCCCATGTCCCCGAGCCTCCACCCCACACGGGGAGGCAGCGTTCTGTGCGGGAGCCCACTACACTGATGGAAATGGGTGGCTTCCAACAGAAAACCTTCCTGCTGCCAAGTGTCTGGCTCCAGCAGCGATGCCTCAGCCAAGCACAAGGGCTTGGGGATTCGGCTCCGCCGTGAAAGAGTGGGGGCGGCGGCCGCCGTGCTCTGCCTGCCTCATGGGCAGGCCGTACCCTCCACACCCAGTGAGGCATACTGCAGCATGTAGGTGTGGCAGGGCAAGAGGGGCTGGGACAGAGGGCTTGGAGGAGCCCCCGAGGAGCCAATGCTCAGTTGTGCTGGTGCAGCTTTCTGGAGGTTGGCAGCTCTACCTGGTGCTGAAATAATTGGTCTTCTGGGCAGTATTGCCTGCAGGGCAGGTGGTAGGAAGTTTGGCAACTCCATGGGGAGCAAGCCCAAGCTTGTGGCTCAGGGAGCAGACCACAAGACCACCCTGCCTCCAGCACTTGTGAGGTGGAGACACCAGAGGGCTGTTTTCTGACCAAGTAGTGTTTGAGTGACCTTGGCTAATGGTACAGGACGCTATGGCATTGCAGGGGTAGACAGCAGTCACACGGATTCCACCTGCACAGTGGAATCTAGCTTGAAGCTACCGGCGGGACTTACCAGTTTCCAAAGCGGAGTCTGCTCTTGTGCTGAACCCAGGAGGCCCTGTAACCACTGTCACTATTCAAGAAGGGTTGTCACCATTTGATAGCTGGCAGCCCTTGTGTGCTCCCAGTCCACTGCCCAGCTCAGGTCTGAGTTTCTATGCACACAGCCTGATGCCCAGCTCTTTAGTAGTTTTCCTCCATCTGATGAAAGTGTCAGACTTCTACTTCATGGGTGGCATTCACTTTATTTTTTAAACATGCACCTTGGGCCCCTGTATCAGGCTGTATCTGAGATCCTTCATCAGACTCCCTGAATTAGGATCTGTAACAAGGGCCATGACCTTACTGCAGCTCTTGCAATACCAAAGGAAGCACTTTTCTGTGAGCTGTGGCTTGAAGTCCACTCACCTTGTGGACAGCCCCGCAGTGGCCTGCAAGTCTGGCCATTCTTGTGCTGGGAGCCCCAGGGAGGAATGTAAGGGTTGGCACTGCCCCATCTGCACCAGCAGCTTGGGGTCCTGGGTGGTGGCACTGCAGCTAGACTGCCAGCATGGAGCTTTGCTGCCTCCCCTCCCCTGCTCACCATGGCAAGGGGCTGCAACCTCTGGCATGCTTGAGGAGGAAGTGTAGCACACCTTGCTGAGACACCCCGGCCCTGCTGAAGACATGGGGCATGAGGAAGTTCTGTGGATGGCTCTGCTTTTCAACTCTCAGGGATTCACCATGCGTGGCAGTCCACACAGAGAAGGCAGAGAAGTTGTTGCAGTTCAGAATACTCCTCTCCTTAGGCAGCTTCTCCCAGGGGTGCTGCTGGGCGCTGGGCCGCTGGGCAGCATCTTCCGCCAGAGTCTGCTGCGCACACGGGGTCTCCTTCCCCAATGTGTCTTTCCCTCATCTAACATGCACTGGAGCCTGAGCGGGCACGGCCCGCGGTAACCCCGGCTGTGGGGGCACACACACCTGATCACAGATCTAAACTGGCATTTGGTTTACCCTGACAATAACCTGAAAATCTGTGTCGCTGCTCACCCACGTAAACGTGGCAGGCGGTTACTGTGCACCTCCTGGGACTCGGTCACGTGGCTTTGAATTGGCTGCAGATGCCAGCAAGCACTCTGCTGTGGAGGAGAGGTGGAAGGCCCAGGGTGTTCCCCAGCACCAAAATGGGGCCACGTTGTAGAGCTTAACAAAAGCTCAACGTGGGGCTGGCTGTGGTGAGAAAGCGCCACACTCCCCTCTCCATGAATTGGGCTTCCAGGAAGCGATCCCTCCCCCAAGAAGCGGCTTGTGGGGAGGGCACAGCAACCAGCTGGGTTGTAGGAGTAATAAAGAAGGAGAATCAATAGGGCATGCAGTGGAGCCAAGGTGCCGCCATTTATCACGCCGCCTCTCTGACTCCAATCATTCATCATGCTCAATGAGGCAGCAAATAGGAAAATGACTATTTGTATCAAACACATCTGCACTCATCCACTGAGGTATTTTATTCCCATTAACTCTGAAAGTAAAATACGCAGAGTTCTCTCGCTTCTTTCAGCTCAGGTTGGCAGAAGGAATTCACAGCCTGTGAGCACAGACTTTGGCACGAGTTTGCGCAGTGTTTCTGGGATGGGTTTGGGGGACGCCACGGTCCTACTCAGCTCCCCGCCGGCTGCGTTCGTGTGCCACCATCAGCCCTGGCCGCCCAGCGCCCCCTGGCCACCGTGGCTAGGGCGCCATCGAGGATACAGTAAATACTCATTACCTTCCCCCTCAATGGTTCCCTTTTCATCCCATAAATTACCCCTGCTAGGTGGCACAGAAGCTAATTCCACTAAGTCTGTGGAAGATCAGATGTAAATGGGAGGATTATCATCATTATGGTGTAATACCCCATGAAATGGGAGCATCATTACTGGTGCTCTTTACGAGGTGCGCGAGTGGCTTCCAGCCTGCGAACGTGCCTGCGTGGCCTGCAGCGGGCAGAGGACCAGGAGGCCGCCGGACCAGCGCGTGGGATTGCCCGGCAGGACGTGCTGCAGGCCCATGGCGAGGTGAGTGCGGCCAGCTCTGCCCCTGGCAGTGGGCTCGAGGCCAGCAGAGCCGGGCTGCCTCGCCCAAGCCGCTGCCTCGCCCCGGCCCAGGACTTTCTGGACCTTTCTGCTGACCTTATTTTCGCCTCATTCGTCCCGGTTTCTCTTGCAATTAAACTGATTGTCCTGCTCAGTCTCTGTGAATCCCTCCCAGTCCCTGGAAGAGCTCATCCTGAATAGAGGAAGGGATGCAGGAGCTTGAGTCTTCGTGCTCCACCTCGCCTGGGGCCCACCGCTGGGGAGCCCGGTCCTGGCACGGGGTGCTGGGGACCAGCTGGGGGTCAGGCCGCCTCCTCCCGAGGAGCTGTTCTCTCAGCCTGAACGGGAAGGCAGTTCTCTGAGGACCTGGAATTCTCATCCCACCTCTGATTTGTCTTCTGCTCATTAAGTTTGGCACGTAGAGTCGATTGTCTCGGGAGCAATCTGGTGGCATCTGCTGGTGGCTGCGGGCACAGAACGTGTCAGCTGCACCAGGCAGGCAGTGCACACAGCCAGGTGTGCACACCAGGGCTGTCCCCGGGGCCCTCTCCTGGGAGCACCTTTCTGGCCTGTCGTGGGGCACAAGTCGCTGGCCTGCCTGTCATCTCCTCAGGGGGAGCCATGGTGTGGTTTATGGTGTGTGAGAGATGAGGGGAGAGGACTGAAAAACCTTGGAAATGAGGACATAGTGCAGAGAGACAGTCTGAATTCTCTCTCTGCACAAACTGATGCACGCTGCATGGCTACTGTCTGTAGACCGTGTCGTCCTGATCGGGGGACAGCCTGAGCTACCGCAGACTGCTGCCTTCTAACTGCAGGACAGATGTGGGGGCCCCCCGAGCGCTGGCCCTCAGAACTTGGTGGCCTCCTGGGGGGTCACTCTGTGTCTGCCCTGGGGTGCTGGGTTTGCAGCCCGCCTTCGTGAAGCAGGAAGTGTCGATCTGAAACACTTGATCCCATCATTCAGAAAGCGCTGTGGCCACAGTGCCTTTGTGACATGTCTACTGATCTTTGTTTTCTTCTGTGATCTTTGCAGAAGGCATTTACGGCAAAGCATAAACAAAGAAATATTAATATGGAAATTGGTCGCACTGTGCACAGCCATTTTCATATACGGAAAACATTTCAGAGTTTGTTTTTTAGACATCTATTCCCCCTACTGGTGACATTTATTCCTATTTGGCCACCAAAAAACCCCGGCTGTGGTATTCAGGTGATATGGAGAGGAGAGGGCTCTGAGGGGTGAGCAGGGCCTCAGCCATGGGGCTGCATCTGGGGCACATTTTCACACTTGCTGCACTCCGGCTGTGGCCATGAAGCAGACAGAGTCACCTTGAGAAGCTGTCCTTCCCCTGAGCTCTGCAGCAGGCGCCTGCTGCCACCTCAGCCGCCACAAGCAGGAACAGGGCCCTTCCCAGGTGGTATCATACAATGGCTGCCCTCTTCTCCGTGGACACCTCCAGGAAGGCCCCCCTTGGTGGCCACTGCGGCTGAAACACGACTCCTGGCCATCTCCCTAAGGCTGTGCACCCTGCTTGGCCCACCGTGGACAGCCACACAGCAGTGCTCTCAGGCCAGCTGCCTGGCTCCCAGAGGTCCTAAGGGTTAGCGGAGGACAGAAGGCATGCCCCCCCCCAGGTGAGGAGGATGCTGGTGGCCCCCACTCTGCCTTGTCCAGGCAAGAGGGCCCTTGAGGTGCGCAGGGCCAGCATGTCGCCCTCCAGCTCAGCCGACAGAGCTCAGGGTAGAGGACCTGCATCTTCCATGGGCCCCGCGACTGTGACGGAAATGCTGGGCACAACTCAGCTGACAGGTGTCACCTGGGCTGTGCACCTCCCCTCACAGCAGCCTCACAGGAGAAAGAACCCACGGGAGGGCAGCGGGCAGGGCTGTGCCCCCAACCTGCTGCTGTGTCACATTGTACTAATCTAGGGGACAGTTGAGATAACACACCCTCCTGCTGGTGGCACACATCAGGCTCATTTTCAGCCCTGTGGTGCCAGCATCCCATATGGACAGCAGTTCATGTCCTGACTTCTCCACTTCCCATCCAGCTCACTGCTTACGGCCTGAGAAAGCAGTGGGAGATGGCCCCAAATCCTTGGGCTCCTATACCTGTGTGGGAGAA